TCAAGCAATCCTTCTGCCTCAGCCTCCTGAGTAGCTGGGACTACAGGCATGCACCACCATGCCTGGCTAATTTTTTCTATATATTTTTAGTTTTCCAGCTAATTTCTTTCTATGTTTTTTAGTAGAGATGGGGTCTCGCTCTTGCTTAGGCTGGTCTCAAACTCCTGAGCTCAAATGATCCTTCCACCTCAGCCTCCCAGAATGCTAGGATTACAGAAAAGTTACCATTTTAACTATTATAACTGTACAGTTTGGTGGCAGTAAGTACATTCACACTGTCGTTCAATCATCACTACCACCCATTTCCAGCACTTTTTCATCTTCACCAACTGAAACTCCGTACCTGTCACCAGGATGGCCCCAACAAAGCAAATGGAAAATTTTAAGAGTTTTTTTTCCTTCTCTTTTCTTTCTCTTAGCAATTTTTCTTTAGTCTCTTTATCTGGAGGCACAGCTGCTCAAGGACACCAGATTGCCAAAATGCTACAAATAGCCTCATGAGCCACTGCAGGATGCCAGAGGAAGTCCAGACTTGTGCAAAGCGCAGGTGCAGACCAGAGCAGGTGACCTCCAGTTACCTTTACCTCATTAATATATCATTATAATACTAAAAATCACTCCCCCAAGTGAGAATCACTGACATTTTATGTACATGCAATGTATGAGGAAGCATGTATGTGATATGTCTGTGTGTCTGAAACTCCACCCTATACATTCTTACATACCTTCTTCGTTCTGTATCTAACTCTTGAAAACTCCCACATCTTCCTTTGTTCAGGGAGAAGGTGCCTTTAGATCATAAGTTCCCCCTTCTCCATTCTTTGGACACCAAATTAAAACTGAATGTCTTACCAGTTGGATGTTCTTTCTTTGCAGCCGATATAAAGTAGGGAAGGAATACAGTGTTTTGGTAACATATCCGTAAGTACTAACTGCCCATTTTTCCCTTCCTCCAGCCCCTGGCAGCCACCATTCTACTTTCTGTTTCTATGAATTTGACTACTCTAGGTACCTCATATAAGTGGAATCATACAATATTTGTCCTTCTGGGACTGGCTTATTTCACTTAGCACTTAGAACCTCTTCATGGTTCATCCATGTTGTGGCATGTGTCAGAATTTCCTTTCTTTTAAGGCTGAATAATATTCCATTTTAGGTACCCCATTTTGTTTATCCATTCACCCATCAATGGACAGTTCTGCTTTTTGGCTATTATAAATAATGTTGCCATGAATATAGGTGTACAAATATCTGTTCGAGCCTTTGCTTTCAATTTTGTTGGGTATATGCTGGATCATATGGTAATTGTATTTTAATTTTTGCGGAACCACCACACCGTTTTCCACAGGGGCTACACCATTTTACTGTCTCCACGTATTTTGACAGGATCTTTTGGCTATTTTGCAATTGTTTGGTTTCTATTCTGATGTCTCACAACCTCATGTCAATGAAAAAATGGCTCAACCCTAATTAAAGAAGCTCCCAACAATAACATTAACCCTTGGTCAGTATAGAGCAAACAAAAGTAAAGCCTTTATTCCACCCATTGCCTTCTCTAAAAACTGTTCTGTCACCTCTCTTCAATTTTGGGCAAAGAATCTCTAGTAATTCTCCATGCTCACTGTCTTTTCTCAATGTTCAGTTCTTCTTTAACCTCTTGCAATTTTTTCTCCTCTTACCATTCTGTTGTTCCCTTAAAAGTCAGCAATTACATCTATTAATTTCTTATAAGAGCCAGTTACTGTGTTAAGTATTCTGTATTTTCTCATTTAATCCTGAACATACCCTTATGAGGTAGATTACATTATCATCATTTTACAGATGACGAAACTAAGAAAGAGAATAAAAGTTTTGCAACAACAACTAATAATTGACAGAGGCAGGATTTGAACACACACAGTCCAACGTGGGAGGTGGCCTGCTAGATATGACTGCCTTTCCTTCTTGAGACTCTCCCCTCCTTTGATGACACACACCATTTGTGTGTTCCTATTCCTCCATCTCCTTCCACAACTCTTCTTCCTCCTTCCCCCTGCTAAGAGTTAGTAATCTTCCCCAAACTTAATCTTTGGCATTCTAAGACTGTGTCTTTCTGCTGCTCTTCTTGGAGAACTCACATCCTCCCATGGCTTCGTCTACCACAAAACTGTGTGGACTATACTTATTTGCCCGTCTCTGACCTCTCACCTGTGCAGCCATTGCCTCCAGGACACTTCTCCACTAAAATTCATTATCGATCTTCCAA